AAAAAAAAAAAAAAAAAAAAAAAAACAAAAATGTCCATAAATTTCCCTAATAGTTGCTAGGAGTGAATTGATCTGGAGGTTTGCGCTGTCGGGAGCCCATCCGACGTTGGTACGTCTGTGAAGAAGACGAGGCTGTGGGCGTGGCAGCTTCTTTTTCTTCATATGAATAATTGATATTTTAAGAAAATTAGAAATTCTACTTGACAATAAATAAATAAATAATTTAAAAATCATATTGAAGTTAAGTAAAAATTCTGACCTTCTTCTACTTGTTACTCAGGCACGGTGTTGGGAGGCACGGTGTTGGCATCGAGTTCGCGGACACGGCGTCTTCTACGGCCACCAATATTGGCAGCAGGTCGATGCCTCGCCCGGTGCGATTGCGTCATTTGGGGTCGGACGTAGCTCTCTTAAGATAGAACTTGATTCGACGACGTCCCTTGCGTGACCCCTTGTCCTCCGACAGTCAGTCCACTGTAGAGCATGTTTTGGGACTGTGCGATTATGGACTGCTGCTCTGGAGTGAGTGTATTAAAATCAAGAGTCGATAACAAGTTATAAACCCCCTCCATGGCATTGGCCTGAAAATTAAATTAAAAAATATTACTATTAAACACACAAAAAAATAATAATAATAATAATAAAACACAATTTATGAACACTTACACTGCACATCCCCTGCTCGGACAGTGGATGAAAACCTCCTTCCTGTTGGACCACCGGGTTGTTGCCAGGATTACTGATTAGTCTCACAGTCCTATAGTAAAACCAATCAAGGTAACCTGGCTCAGGCTCAAGGAACGACTCCACAGGGTAATATGAGAGGACATGTTGGGCTCTTTGTTGTACTTAAACATTCCCAAGTGCTCCATGATATTCCACCCAATCATAGAATTCCCTAATCATTCTTTGGCCTTGGTGGTGTGTCTGGTATTCGGCCAAATTCAGCCAAACCTGTAATGATTGGAGGGTCGGGGATGGCTTGTCGACACCCTAACTGACGGATGACCCTATCAGTCAGGTGCTGTTCACGATTGTCTCAACAGAAGATCCACCCTCTATACATCCAGAGGTGTGAACCTTCTGTGCACGGGGCCGGGAGAGTACCCTCGTCCAGGTGGCGCTTATATGGCACCCAATTGAACTGTAAAAAAATAATAATAATAATAAGTAGAAATTAAGTTATAAAAAAATTAAAAACAAAAAACAAATATAGATAATAATCAATATTACTTAATAATAATCTTACATCATTCTCTCTCAGCCCTGCTAATTGATCTCGGATAGCGGTTGTTCCCTTTCCTATGTGCTTCATATTCATCCGTCCCACCCACCTTAAAAATCACATAATAAAAAAATAAATTGTAATCACAAAATTTTATAATTCAAATATTCTAAGTATTAAATATAAATAAATGTGATTACCTTCCCCCTAAGAGACAACCATGGACTCTGTCAAAGTTGGTATCCTTCATTTTTAGGCTAATACGAGGGATACGTTCCCATGCCCAAACCTACAGATATCGACATAAAATTTGGTTAATATATATTAGGGTAAAGTATAATAAAACAATGAATGGAGTAATAACAAGTAAGTACATTTATTTACCTGATCAATTGAACACAATTCTTGATCCAGGCTTCCCCAGCTCTGGCGCTCGTGGCGAGCGCTCTATAGACCCCGACCAGGACAACTGAACCCTAGCTGTACTGCTTGATCCCATCGATCTCGAGCAACTGCTGCAACCAATACAAGTTGACGCCATTCGCCCTCTGGTGGGGGAAGAAGAATGAACCGATACACCAGAGTATAAGGGCCCTCGCCCTCTGTTGGTAGTGAAATAGAGGCTCTTCATTTGTTAGCGCTCTATAGCACTCCTTTTCAATTGTCGAGGTCTTCAAATACTGGCCTGTAATTTCCAGAGTGTCGGGGTTGTCCTTCGGGTCGTCGTCAGCCTGAGAGTGTTTTATACATATTCAAATTTAATGAATTGAATAAACATAAAAAAAAAATGTAGGAAAAAAATTACCTGGACTGTGGGCTCGAACCCTAGATAATCGATACACGCCTCTTGCCATTCTTGGGGTGTGTGGTCATATGTCTGTCTCCAACAAGGCGTTCCATCGATGGGGAGACCAAAAAGGACTTGTACGTACTGCAGCGTTATTGTGGCCTCCTCGAAGTCAAAGTGGAAGGTGTTCGTCTCCGGACGCCACCTCTCCACTAGAAATGTAATCAGGCTGTTTTCCGTCGGTACTCTACCCATTCTGAAAAGGGGCCCGAAACTTGTCCTATCGATCTCCTCCCATACTTTGTAATGTTGCACCTCCAACGCCTTCCAAAACTGACTGGCGAAACGGCGGATTCTAATGACGCCGTGACGATATCCCTCCACATCGTTGTATACCGCTCTCGACCGGTGGTTGTCCTGAAGGTATAAATGGGACCGATCAATCGGACCAGGATGTACGTTGTAGCGCTGCAGTTGGGATGACGATGAGGATTCCATTTTCTACAAAAATAAAAAATAAAAATAAAATCATTAGATATAAGAAAGCATAATTTCCAACAAAATAAAGTAAAATAAAATAGGCGGAACATCAAAAAATTAAATAAACCACATCAAACGGGATAAAAAATCGCAACATATCATGCATTTATCAGGGCTAACATAACTGAAACGAACTGTTTAAGTGCTTTCATTCACAAATCCAACTAATATCAAATAAAATGCTTTCATTCTCTAGTTCATTAAATCTATACACGTCCAAATTCGAGAATCGAAGAACACAAACAATTAAACTCAAATTATTTAAAGCCTCAACACATTCAAATAAGCTCAATGATTAAAAAATCGACTTATAATATCGAATATTTTGAAACCCTACCATATGTACAACAATATATCAACAATATGTACAACAATCCATTTGAGACATTTTATCGAACACCTTCAAAACATAGTTTTCCAAACAAACTACAAAACACTAACTAATTTCCAAATAACCCATCAATATATGAAACAAACATAATTAAACAACCCATCAAAATATTTCAATCATTACAAAATCACTCATTAAATAGCAAAGCAAATGAAAAAATAGAGCAAATTTTTAACCCTAACATCATGTTTTTGAATTTTTTATTGAAACCAAAAAAAAAAAAAAAAAA